GGCTGCCTTAACACAAACGCACAAAGATGAAATTGTTTTCCACTGCCTTTGCCTTTGGATAAAAGGCTATGATTTTATTAATGGACAATGTAACAAATAAAAATAGTCTACTGTTTTCTGAATGGTTTAATTCATGGCCACTATAACAAATACAAGCATTTTGCACTTTTTTTTGGAAGAAATTCTAATTTAAAAGTTTATTTATTAAAACTATATTACCTGTTAATGTAACTTTGTTTCCATTTACATAAGGTCTTTGTAAAATAATATGTTCCTTAAAAATATGAGAGAAAATTCTTTTTTTTTTTTGGTCTGTTAAAATATGCTTGGCCAGTAAATAATTTTATCTTCCGGTCCACTTGGCCGGTAGGGGTGTAAATCATGACGATTCGATTCAGTATCAATTTCCTGACTCAACCAATCAATTATTTTCGATACTCAAGAATGCATCATCTTCTCCTTCCTCCGCCACGTCTGTCTTGCCTACTGTTTACGCGAGTGTGTGGGTGCAAGTGGAAAGAGGGAAGGGGCTAAACAAAACGAGGTAGGAGGGCAAAATAGGTTTAGCGCCACCGCAGCACGGGAGTCATAATTACATCCAGGAGCAAATGAATAAAAAATAGACAGAAGAAAAAAACAAAACATGAATGGATACTCTTGCGGACGTGTCGATGCATCGGATCTTAGGCTGTTGGATCGATGCATCGATACAAAATTAGTATTATTTACACCCCTATTGGCCGGTGAACCAAAAAGTTCAAGTAAAGTCACCAAACTCGCCAAAAACACACAGAAAAGTCACTAGAAATCTTTGTAATTTCCTTCTAGGTGAAAAAAGAAATTGATGAAATCCAACAGTTGATGAAGCAGAATGCAAAATAGATGCAGTCAGTAAAAAATGAACAAAACAAGCATTGCATTGTTGTTTTTTTACTCATGGTTAGTGTTTATGCGGAACGATTTATTGTCAAACCTGTGAGGGTTTTTTTTTTTTTTTTTTATTAAAGTGACAACAGAAAATGATTGCAATGATCAAAAGTTTACATGCCGCAGTTGTTGATGTGGTTGATCCCCTTTAAAATTGATGACAGTTTTGTGGTAGCTTCTATTCTTCCTGTAACAAGCCTGCAATTGCTTTAACCTCTTAAACACGACAAGCCCGATACCGGGATGGAGGTCATGTCTGACCATTTGTGGAGAAGCAATCTGCTCGTGTAACAGTAGATTATCTTATGCGTGGCTAGAAGCTGCATTTCAGCAATCTTTGAGGTGTTATTGCTTTTCTTTCATAGTAGTAAAATATCATAATAGTACAGAAAAAGCAAATGACAGATTGGGATTGGAACACACAGAACCGGTTCTGAACAGGAACCGGTTTTCGATTCCCATCCATATAGATTATCCATCCATACTTTCCTAATAAACATTACTGTTACAGCAGAACATCTGCTTTTTTTCTGGCTGTTTTGGTTGTATAGTTTATAGTATCTTTAAAATCGGGAAAGAAAATCTACAATACATGTAGTTTTCTATTCAGCTTATTGATATTATGCTGTGTAGAAAGATAAACTTGAATAAAACAGTAAAATCTACCATGGTAATCATCACTTTTTTTTTTTTAGATCGGATTCCTTTTTAGTAGGAAAATAATCCATTTGGAAGGTTTTGAACTATTTTGGCAAGTCTGTTCCAAAATGACAGGTCTACCGGCCACAATGTGCACGAAAACATTTGCAGAACAAATATGCTTCAAACAATTCAGTCCTAATTTGCAGGTGCATCGTTTTATATTGTTAAAACACTTTACAGTACAGCATTTTATTGTTCACCTTAACTCTTCACTATTATTCTGTTCTCATACATATTTGTGTGACAGTGGTTTCTATAATCTTTTACTACTGTAAACACCAGAATATCCCCATTGTGGGACAATAAAGGGATTTTCTATTCTTTTCTGATGTGGTTCTATAAATTCTGATGCTTTTACCAGAGTTTCAAATGGTTTCCATGGTGTTTTACAGTATATATTTTCTTGAAAATAATTTTTGCTGTGTTTGATAATCTATAAATGAGAAATTAACACATTTACAGTAGAGATTCCACTTGCAAAATATTCTTCATTGACTTTGTATCATAATTTTATGTGATTAGTTTTTTTAATCAGATATGTGATATCAGATTGAAATTGCTCTGGTGCTTAAGGGGCAACATTTCTAGGCTGTCTTGCATGAACTAAATGTTTGAGATCTCCTTGGAGAGGCCAAGAGAAGGAGATGGTCGCTTCTAAAACTTGTCTTTTATTCTGCTGTACCCGTTGACAGTCGGGCTTGGCCTCGGTTGCTGTAATGTCGGATCATCCAAGTTCGTCCCGTTCGCAGCTTCTGGGTATATGAGGGCAAATTTTCCTCCAGTACTTTCTGATAAATTGCTGCATTCATCCTGCCATCAGTTTGACCCAGTTTCCTGTGCTTTTTTAGCTCAAATATCCCCAAAAACCTCATTAATCTGCCTCCATGTTTCTCAGTAGGAATGGTGTACCTTTTATTGGCCCTTTTCACTCCTCTCTTTTTCTAATTTTTAATGGTTGTGACCAAAAAGGACAGTTTTAGTCTATTCACAGCAAAAATGTTGAGGCTTGTTCCTGTTCTGATTGGCGTATTAACTTTGTGTTGTAAGAGCTTCCCTCTGGTTACTCAACCATTTTTCTTGAAGTGCTTCCTCCACTTGAAACAGCCACACGGTCTTATTTGTGGGTTGTGTGGGTTTTTTTCCCCCCCATCTTGAACATTTTTCCTGGCAGTTGCTGAAATGTTTGTTGGTCTACCTGACTGTGGTTAGTTTTCCACAGAATCCCTCATTTTCACTCTTTTTTTTTTTTTTTTCTTTAGTTTAAACACTGCTGATATGCATTCTTGGTTCCTTGGATATATTTTTTTAAAATCCTTTTCCTGTTTTATACACACCTTTCCCCCCTCATTTGCTTTACCTGTGACCTAGAGACATCTTTTCAGCACTGGATGAAAGAGTCTGTCTGTAGTCCAGGAACTCACTAACCGTTAAACAACAACAGGCAGCAGATCACTAACCTGACTCCGCCAGATGGATTTGCTCCGCATATCCATCTGGAAACCTTCCGTAGAAGTAATTTTGGGAAGGGGCGAAAATACTGGTTAGCTGATTGGCCTATGTTGGTGATAGACGGGCCAAATAAACCAATCAGATCAACGAAGCATATGACGTACTAACAGAGCAACGACGAAAACACAACCACAAGACAGACTACTCTTGCCGAAGCCAGTCGGGAGAAGAGCAAAAACATATTTTCCTCTGAGAAAAGCCTCCAGAGCAGTGTTTTGCTCTTCTATCAGTGAAGAAATACTCTGTAATTCCGATAAAACTTGCTCGATAGCCACGCTAACGCTAGTTTCATCGGCTGAAGCCGCCATGTTCTTCAGACTGAACCGTCGCGCTTCTCGTTGCGTCACACCTCAACCCGCCTCAAAGCCAACGCTGATTGGACGTTCGTTTGGTGAACGGCTCCAAATTTTCTTTAACGGAGAGTCTCCAGACTGATCTGCGAGTGAAACCTTGAAAGCTCGCGAGATCAGGATGGTCTCACGAGGCTAGCAGATAACAGGTGTGTCATAGAAAGTAAACGCAGGTTTAAAACCCATAGGACTTTTTTTCTTGGCTTTTTTGCACAAATTCTCATTTTCCTCTTGAAGCACCTCTAGGCTTCGCACCGCAGCGGAGCAGATGCAGTGTAAATTAGCGGCCAAAATCGCTAAAGTTTTGGTTCAATTTGGACAATAATTGTCTTCATGCAACCGCTAACCAGGATTAAAAACAAAGTACTTTTTTGTCTTATTGTTCATATTCTCTGAGAAGTGTTCATATTCTCTGAAAATTTTGACCAAAACTGTGTCCCCCTCGCCTGCAGTGGGATTTGATTGAGGTTTTAAAACTGATATGTCGATTGCAGCCAGTCCTCATCTTTGTCCCCCAGGGGCTTCGGTTACATCCGAATGGACTTAAACGCATTTTAAACTTTATTTAAACTATGTTTTCTGAGGCAGCAGAAATCAGAGCTGATATTTTCTGGTGATTCTGCATCGCAGTAAAGCCTTCTCTGCATATTGTGCAGTTGATTACATTTAAGGCAAAACACAGAAAAGAAATCAGCAGCCATTACTTTCATCAGGTAGATCTGTCTGATCTGAGCAGCAGGAAGAACTCTGAGGTGTAAAATTAAGGTCGAGGTAAAAATAGATAATTACATCCGATCGGGTGTTGCAAAAACACATAATGTATAAATAGATGGAAATATTGCACTGCAAAAACGATCTAGAAATAAGTAAAAATTTCTTAAATTAAGTATATTTACTCTTAATTTGAGCTGGTAAATGAGATAGTTTGCCAATGGAATTAGTAATTTTACTCTTACAATAGGATAATTAGATAATATGCACTTGAAAAAAGACAATGCAATCGTGTTTTCTTATTTTAAGTGTAAATTGTCTTATTCCATATCTCTTTTACCTCCTCAATTCAAGAACAAATGCACTTATTTTAAGAAAAAATGACTTGTCTAGATTTATATTTTTTGCAATGGTGTACCTTTCCTTTGTTTTGGTCATAAATTGCTCCACATGAAGAAGATAATGCAGAGACAGGCAGGAGTGGATGTTTTAGATGAGGTCTCAGTCTACCTCTATTGTCAGAAATTAGGAAAATTAAACCTTCAAATAAAAACTCACATTTTCTTGCTGTGGTGACTCAGACAGGGTCTTAACTTTTGATAATGTTTAAATGTGATTACAGAGGAAGGCAGCTGCTTCAGTCTTTTCTCGTGTCTACAAAAGTATTTTGACATGTTTGACTCGTAAAATTACTTGTACTAGAGCCTGCCTTTTTATTTCAGGCTCCGTTTGTCTGATTCATGCTGTATAACCCTCACTTTTAAAGGTGATTAACTTCCATCTTGCTTCTATTTCCTGCAGGAGCTGTTTTGAACTGCTGCTGTCAGTGCCTGAGAATGAAATCCCATATGAAGCCTGGCTTCAGTTCCACCACTCGGTTCAGGTAGGGGCCCTTCAAAGCCTGCGTTGTTGATGGTTTACAGATGGAAATCATATGGTGTCTGTATGTTTTTTGTCCCTCTCTATCATAGTTATTATCTTGTGTTTTTTTTTCTCTTTCTCCATTGCTGCCTTGTTTGGGAAGTTTCCACCACAGCACTTCCAGTAGCACACTAGCATTGGTGCTTGCTTTGCACCAGTTTCGTTTATAAAAAAAAAAGTTATTTAATAATTTTTTACAAATTAAAATTATATTTACAACACATAAACAGCAACAATAATAGCAGTTATTCCAATGTAAATACGTAAAAGAGAATTTGGACAAAACCAAACTAACACATCTTAAATTTAACCTACCGGACAAGATGATGTCATTCAAAATGAGTTTTTAGTATCTTAGTAAATATAATGAGGTAATGAATGTAACAAGGGGGTGACTCGCATGAAAAGAATGGATTTGATGTGTTCAAAGGATATTTAATTGATTATTACATTTTTCCAGAGTGACAGGTAGACATTTGTCCTTGATTTCCAGTTAATGACAATTTTGTTTTTGTTTTTTTTTTGGGCGAAAGCTAGTGCAGTTCTTCTGTAGATGTAATTGAAATATCTTATTCAGGATATAAAAAATGTAGGGTTTCAAAAACATTATTATTTTATTGTTTAATCAAAGCCTGCTCTCTGCTGTTTTGGCTGTAAAATGTTTACCTGCCTGGTGAGCAGATGATGGCCTAGAGTTTACATTTTCACAGCACTTCTGTAGAAAATGTAGATGTGCAAATTAGGTGGGAAATGTGTTAAAATACACTGTTTCATTGGCCATCAGGCTCATTCAATGTTAGTTCATTCAGGGTTCCCATGGGTCCTTTAAAAGTCTTAAAAGGCATTGAATTCTTCAAAATAAAACTAAGGCCTTAATTGGTATTAAAATATCTTCAATCAGTCTTTCGTAGGTCTTAATGTTTAAAACATCATAAATAGGATTATTTTTGTTATTACAATTTATTTTTGTAATCTACATAAAACACTACAATCAGATTTTTATTTTATTTTTTCTATAAAAAAAAATAAATAACGGCTCGCCATCGTTGGTTCCGTCCCGATAGCGGAACCAATAAAAGCGTTGTTGCGGCCGGGACATTTGGGAGATGCACCATTAACTTTTTGTCTGGAAAATATGAGCAAGTGTAAATGTAACGAAAATTGTCTCCAGCCAAGAGTTTTCTCCATGGCTAAAACCAGGGAACATACATGAGGCTCAGTGGATTTTGTTCAAGAAGTCATTCAAGCTCAGAACTATGGGAATTAAGGCAGTGGAGTCGCACATGCGAAGCACGAAACACAAAGCTTCAAAATGGAGTTACAGAGAAACAGCCCGTATTTCTCTGTTTAGTTCCACCCTTGTCTCTGCAACGCCTCCACTTATCACCAAATCAAACATACTAAGAAAACGATACAAAGAAAAATAGCTGCAAAAAAAGACTTAGCACTGGTTATGTTGTGGCTTTAAAACTGATTTGTTTTGCTCCCTGCTAAAATAAAAGTTTGTGAATTCAGTTAAATAATTTTTAAAATATATCTGTAATTTGTTTGTTTTTTAGCTTTCTTCCTGTATGGGAAGCTTTTCAAAATATGAAACATTAGTGCAGTGGTTTATTTTATAATAAACTTTTGGGTTAAGTTGTCGCAAGCAGGTTTTTCTTGTGTTTCTTGTGAATTTGGACTTAAATTTTTATTTCAAGTGGCATTAAAAAGTCTTAAAAAGTCTTTAACATGCCTTATGCTGTAGGAGCCCTGCCATTGTTATCTCAATTTTAAGTTTTCTTATAAGCTTCTAAGTTTTAGCCTAACCAATGTCTGAAATTGACTGGGGATGAAGCCCAGATGTCAGTCAAAAGTCTGTTAGGCTCAAAATAAATCAGCCAGTCAACCTGATTTTCAGTGTAACAGCGACTTGTTTGAGGGCGATGGCCCGTTACGCTGAAATAAACTAACGAGAACCCTGTTATTGATAAATCAAAAAGACAAATGACGGGGGGGGGAGTTGTAACATTTTGTCCAAAAGCAGTTGAGTGAGTAAAAAATTAAAGAGCCTGGATGTGTGTATCAGATTTAGCACCAGTTCTGAATGTTTGTCGAGCTGCAGATTTTACAACAAATGAACTGGTCTTCTTAGCAGCAGGTCTGTTTTGAGCCAGAGGAAATAAGAAATTACTCAGTAGGAGTTGGGGGTGTGCTGACTGAGATCACAAACCATTCAAAACACCTGAGTTAGATTTGTCGTTGGTCTGTTCTGTTCAGGTCTGCATGGTGGAACAGTTAAAATCCTGACTAGTCCTTTTTGCATAAAGTTTGCATGTTGTCCTTGTGCATATCTCTGGATACTCCTGCTGCCCTCCACAGCCCACAAATATGTATGTTAGGGTAATTGGCCATTCTGAATTGGCTTTAGTGTGGTATCTCTGCTGGAGGTAAACAGCAACCCTGTCTGGATGAGACGGGTGCATCAAATGGATGGGTTTGACTAAATTTAAAATTAAAACAATAAAGAGTTGGATTAGGTCAGTCTTTTTTCCCCAACACCGTATTTTGATTTCATCTTTCAACTTGAGGTGGGTCGATGTGTCACATAGAGGGGAGGTTGTAACCTTTATGTGGGCCTTTCTGAGTCGGATCTTCATCACAATGAAGGAAGAATTCCTGATATGAAAGTTTGAATGTTCAGAGATGGTTAGGACTGTGAATAGCTGACAAACACAGCTTGTTGTTTAAAGTAGAGTTAAAAATGGAGCTTATGACATAGGAGGGAACTGTTTGAAGTGCTGCTGAGATACAAAATCTGATTGGTTGAAATAAAAATGTCTTCGGCATGGTAATCCTTCACAATAAAGCATTTAAAAAAAGAGGATGAAACTTTTACTGGATTAGGTTTTCAAAGTGACGCAATGATATGTTTTTGAATTAAGTCCTTCAGAGAACCTGTTAGGAACCGGTCGTACAGCAGCTCCAGTTGTGGTTACTCCCAAGCACCGCTTTAGGGGAAAAACACTCAAATAGAATGTGAAAGAATTCAGGTTGTAGGTTGAAAGCTGTTGATTCATTGGTTTACATCCTGAAGGACATCTAGAAACACAGAGAAGGTGGCTGAACACACACGCTGTGATTTCTGGAGGTTGTGTCCCTGTTCTGCAGTCTTTTACTCACATTAGGAAACACCAAATTATGCATGGAAACTATATTAGGTGAGACGTAGGGCCACATTTTTTTGGCTAAACGATTTACCTGATTGTGTTTTTGTTGTTGAATTTTGGTTTCAAAATGTCGAAACCTGCCGGCAAAATATTTTCGATTTTTTACACCCAGGAGCAAATGGATAAAAATAGACAGGAGGAAAAAAAAACATGAATCGATTCTCTTGCGGACGTATCGATACATCGGATCGTCGGCTGTTGGATCGATGCATCGATACAAAACGATTATTATTTACACCCCTAGCGTTTAGTATGCCTAAGTGACTGGCGTTGTTTTTTTCAAAACAGTGATAAACTCTTAGGGCTCTTCTTTCAAGAGCTGCTTGATGCACGTGTGACCAGGTGAATGTGGCTAAAGAGAAGATGACTGTTGTGCTGTTTACAAACCCCACATTTTAGTATTTCTTTGGGGGGGGAAGCAGAATCTGAATCCCATCTTCCTGCGCAGGACGTCCTAGTAGACTCAGTTTATGGGAAAGACTGCTTCAGTTTTACGTTGTATTTTAATGTACTTAAATCTGTTGTGTTTACTGCAGATTGCCCATGATACACTTATACAGTATGGAAGCACAGACCTCCAAGCACTCCTCCAGATCACAGGAGAGGGAGGAGCATGGAGCAACCCAATCCTAAGCGCCCTCCTCACCGGGCAGCCCACCAGCCCAGAGGATGGTTAGTCTCAGTCACTTTTATCTGCTCCCTTTCTTTACTTCAATGTTGACTTTTACAGGTTGATCTGAGCTCAGTTTCACTTTGTGCTCTGCTTGTAGTTAATGCATACATAAGCTTGGAAGGTGAGGGCTTCATGGAGATGCGGGTGAAACACCTGGAGAAGATGGGCGAGGTGGCCAAGGCTGGAGTCTTGGCCAAAGCTTGTGCCGAATGCAACCTCATTTCCAACCAGGGAATGTTTCGACAGATCTACGTCGCCCAGCTCTGCCACCTGCTGCCCAACGAAGAGGCCATCATGGAGGTATGGAAACAAAAATCAACCAACAGGTTTTGTTTTTTCCTTGTTTGATGCGGTTCTAGTCTCTACATTCTCCAAGCAGACATTGCTGAGAAAGTTTCTGCTTTGCTTTCAGATGAGCTAATTTTAATTTTTTCTAAAGACAGGCTCCTCCTGGATGAGCTTGTGGAAACAATTTTTGCTTCATTTCGTCGTTGACTCTTCAGTAATCCCTCACTCTAAGCATGCATGTAGTGAAGGTGGAGAGGAAAAACTCCCTTTTAACAGGAATAAACATCCAGCAGAACCAGGCTCAGTGTGAGCGGCCATCTGCCGAGGCCGACTGGGGTTCAAGGAGACAGACGAGCTCCAAGCCAGCCCCCATGTCAGAGGATGAAATAGAACACATACAGTTAGTCACAGTCAGAGAAACAGGACTACACTGAAAAACAGGCTGATATCCAACAGCTATAAACAAAGGTGTTGATGGCAGCAGCTACTATGAAGCTACCATGAGGAGAAAAAGCAAAGAGAGTACTATGTCAGAGGTTGAACTAACAAATACTGCAGAATGGGAGAATATGGATAAAATGAAGCAGAATGAGGGAAAAGTGTTCCCTATGTCCTCCAGCAGTCTAAACATACAGCATCATAAAATAGAAAATAGCTCAGCATAATCTAATTTGAATAAGTTATAAGAAAGAAAGAGCAAAGACTAAAATCTTAGAATATGATGTTTCAGTATGGCAGGCCTGCTCAAAGTTGGTCCACATTGGCCTATGTCCTGCAGGTTTTTATAGGTTTCCCTGCTTTAGCATAGCTGATTCTGATGACTGCCTCTCAATCAGTAATCAATGAAAATCTCGTTAATTGACATTGGATGACCCGGGCTCTGAAATGGCTACATTCTCATTTATTCCTCATAAGAGAAGCTGGTTTATCAGTTAACCCCCCTGCTATGATGTTGATAACATGATAAAATGCCCCAATGTTACAAGCGGAATATTTATTTACCGTAATTTTTAGACTATTAGCCGCACCTGAATAGAAGCTGCAAAAGCTAAATTGCATTATTTGTACATATACAAGCCGCAACGGACTATAAGCCGCAGGTTTTTTATGTTTAACCCTATAATGCCAAATGTATCGTATTTGATACATATGGTTTCTGAAATGTTTTGCGTCTGACACCTTTTGCATAATTTAAAGGTAAAAACTTTGCTCAAAATCCTTTTGTACACAATCAGATATACCTGATAACAGAGGGCAGAAGACTACACAAAAAATAATCTTGACTTATCGCATAGTAATAAATTATTAATATCAAAAATGTATTTCTGTTTTTTCTTTTTACATATTTTGTTAAAAGGGCAAATAAGGAATTCAAACCAAAAGAAAGTAATTTTCTGGCTTTAAAGGGTTAACACAAACTGTCTTGCGCTCGCAATGTCCGTCTTTCTCGCTGTCGTTCTGTCTCGTACCTCTCGCGGTAGAAGTCTGCTTCCGGAGGACCTCCGCATTCCCGCGTGCACGGCTACCATACTTGTGTGTTGAAGCAAATGTGACGTCAACATGGTGGATGGTAAAATCCATAGATTTAGGTATTTCTCATAGTGGCCGTTAGCTGTAAAAGTCCATAGACAAGCCGCAAGGTCGAAAAATGGGGAAAAAGTTGCGGCTTATAGTCTGAAAATTACGGTACTTTTTTGAGTCCATGGCGGTAGATGAGAGCGCCATGAAAAACCTGAAAAGTACGAAACCTTATCAGCACTTGTATAATGACAAAATAGGCTGTGTACTGATACACAAATGTGGCAGTTAGGTGAAAATGAAGGTAGATGTTTAACCTAGCCAGTTTGTGAATGATTCCTGCCATAACACTGGTATGGTTGTTAAGGAGGATGGAGAGCTGGAGGCTACTAACCTGACTCCGCCAGACGGATTTGCTCTGCATATCCATCTGGAAACCTTCCGTTGAAGTAATTTTGGGAAGGGGCGAAAATACTGGTTAGCTGATTGGCCTATGTTGGTGATAGACAGGCCAAATAAACCAATCAGATCAACGAAGCATATGACGTACTAACAGAGCGACGACGAAGAGGAGCCAATTGATAGATCAAACTCTTGCCGAAACCAGTCGGGAGAAAAGCAAAAACATCTTTTCCTCTGAGAAAAGCCTCCAGAGCAGTGTTTTGCTCTTCTTTCAGTGAAGAAATACTCTGTAATTCCGATAAAACTTGCTCGATAGCCACGCTAACGCTAGTTTCATCGGCTGAAGCCGCCATGTTCTTCAGACTGAACTGTCGCGCTTCTCGTTGCGTCACACCTCAACCCGCCTCAAAGCCAACGCTGATTGGACGTTTGTTTGGTGAACGGCTCCAAATTTTCTTTAACGGAGAGTCTCCAGACTGATTAGCGAGTGAAATCTTGAAAGCTCGCGAGATCAGGATGGTCTCACGAGGCTATTTCTTCGCTGCCATCAGCAGTGTTTTTCTCAGATATTAATCATCTTTAGTGGTTCCCTATGAGAACCTGCAGATACAGCTCTAGGCAAGTCCTCGATCCTAACATTCGCTGCAGCTCATTAGATATTTCCCCAAATTTTATCATTTTATGATATTTGGAAAGGATAAAAAAAACTCATAACAAAAAAGGGCAAAAAAGCAACAACCCCGCTGATATTTCTATTTTGCATCTGTTTAATTTTCATCTTGGTGTGATGAAGAACCAGAACAGATTCTTCAATGGACGTCGTCTCCAGATTCATGATATAATGGATAAAGGATGTGCCTTACATATTTGATGCCTTTGTTCATCCTGAAAATTTTCCATAAATTTTCACCTTAAAATATTTAGTTAAATGTTTCATTTTTGAGCTCAAGCCTCCAAATGATGATATAATCCTTATACTGCTACCATGATATTCTTTAAATATAATTCAGATGAGACGGATTGCGTCTCTGCTTTTTGCAGATGATGTGGTCCTATTGGCTTCATCAGGTCGTGATCTGCAGCTCTCGCTGGATCGGTTCGCAGCGGTGTGAAGCGGCCGGGATGAGGATCAGTGCCTCCAAATCCGAGGCCATGGTCTTGAGCCAAAAAAGGGTAGAGTGCCTGCTCCGGGTCAGGGGGGGTGTCCTGCCCCAAGTGGAGGAGTTTAAGTATCTCGGGATATTGTTCCCGAATGAGGGAAGAAGGGAGCGGGAGATCGACAGGCAGATTGGCGCAGCATCTGCCGTGAAGCGGGCGCTGTACCGGTCCGTCGTGGTGAAGAGAGAGCTGAGTCAAAAAGCGAAGCTCTCGATTTACCGGTCGATCTACGTTCCTACCCTCATCTATGGTCATGAACTCTGGGTCATGACCGAAAGAACGAGATCGCGGATACAAGCGGCCGAAATGGGTTTCCTCCGTAGGGTGGCTGGGCTCTCCCTTAGAGATAGGGTGAGAAGCTCGGTCATCCGGGAGGGACTCGGAGTAGAGCCGCTGCTCCTCCACGTCGAGAGGAGCCAGTTGAGGTGGAACGGGCATCTGGTTAGGACGCCTCCTGGACGCCTCCCTGGTGAGGTGTTCTGGGCACGTCCCACCGGGGGGAGGCCCCGGGGAAGACCCAGGACACGCTGGAGAGACTGTTTCTCGGCTGGCCTGGAAACGCCTTGGGGTTCCTCCTGAGGAGCTAGAAGAAGTGGCTGGGGAGAGGGAAGTCTGGACCTCCCTTCTTAGGCTGCTGCCCCCGCGACCCGACCCCGGATAAGCGGAGGAAGATGGCTGGATAATTCGGATGACTAGTTTCTGATGACGTCTTAAAATCTTTACATTTTATTATGTGTCAAACAATAATTGCCGAAGATAAATCATGAAAAATAAAACATTAGATATTGATATTATTATAGAGATTGGTAAACAGTTTTGACTAATAAACATAGTCTAATAATAAATCCAAAAATTTTACGATCTTTGATTATTTTGTTATTTTATGACATACCTTTTAGGTTTTTATAGTTCTTATTTAGCAAAGCCAACTTTATATAAAAGCACTTCAAAATGATACAATTGATCAATCTGCTGCACAGCTATCATACATGAGCTTTAAGCTGAGAGAAACCCTTTTGTTCGTGTTCCAAGGCGAACCTTAGATGCCTCCCATGAGAAGCAGGAGTCTACATCTGCTCAACATCTGCTCACCTGCTGTGTGTCTTAAGAAATAGAGTACAATGCATTCTTCTATTAGTTAAAAAAGCATCATCTCCTGATGTGTATTTAAAAAAAGAAACCTCTTCTGCCAGACTCGGGAAGGCTACCAATGTGTGTAATAAAGGATTTTTTCAGATCCATGTGATATGTGAAGGTCTTCTGTGCTAGTCTCTCTCAGCCAGATTTCCGAGTGTCTGATATCACCACAGCTGCTTTCTGGCCTTTCTCAATTCCTAAATATTTTTTTCCAGTAAGAACCGAAACAATTTGTTTTCTGAATCTTAAACCAAGGACGAAGCAGATGAATAAGTTTTATAAGGCCACTCTTAAAGAGAGGGACTCCCTTCTGCAGGTTCTTAAACATTTGGTCACATCTCTGTACAGCGGAGAGCCTGATAGACTTTTATCCCCTTCAGAGGCAGTTTGAGCTTCCATCTTTGTTCATCTGCTGTCACTGAACAAGCTGAAACGATACTGGGTTCATCAAGTCTAGATCGTCTTTTATTTTTGACTTATTGTTTTTGAAAAGTATTTCTCACACATTTATTCCAGTGTTGTTCTCTTCCTCTTTGTCCTGCTTTGAGGGCTGTTATGTTTATGTTTAGATGTTTGTTCTGATGTTTCGAAGCGCTGCAGAAAAAATCTGCTCATGATAACCTTGAACCAGATCTAAAAGATAAGGTCTTGATTCTGTGCTCCATGTCTGTTCAGATATCCAGACTGGACTGTAAAGATGTTCTGGAAATCACCTGCAGCTTGGAGACGGAGGGCGAGGAGAACACGGCCTTCATTCTGTGCACAACCTTCCTAACGCAGCATCTACAGCAGCAGAGTCTCTACTGCTCCTGGTGAGTGGTGCATACTTCACCTGAGCTTTGAGTCAGCTTACCCTGCTTCCCGTCCTTTCTTGTAAAAAAAAATTTGAGTTCTAATTCGTAAGAAAAATTCAGCTTCTGAAATAATTTTTTCACTTTTATTAGTTTGTTTGTTGGGAAGCTCATAGCCTTGTTGATGGAAAATGTTTTGCTTTCTTTGTTGGAAGGGATTTGATATCGTTGTGGAGTAAACTTCAGAGAAGACTTGACCCTTCGTCGATTTCTCTGTTGGAACGATGCCTTCAGCTGGGAGCTATTGCCAAAACTGTCCAACATCTGCTCTACCTGGTCCGTGTGATTCAGGAAGAGGTTAGTTAACCTTTTTTTTCTTTAAGTTTTTACAGTTGCTCGTTTTTTTTTTTTAGGCCGACAGGATAGGGTATGATTTCCAGCAGGATTTAACTGTGACGTTTTGTTCTCCTTTCAGACGGAGACTTTCGGAACACGTGCCTCAGTTGAACTTTGTGTCAAAGCACTTCAGCTTCCAAAGCAGGACGACTCGGAAACCAGAACATCCGTTTGCAAGATGGTGTCCTGCCTCCTTCCTAATGATCTGGAAGTCCTGCGTGCCTGCAAGCTCACTGAGTTCCTCCTCGACACCAGCCAGGAAACGTTCAACTGTCTGAAGGAGCTATATCTTCGCCCAGACCAGAAGCGGGACCAGGAAGGCGAGGCTATTCCCAACTCGCTCCGCTGCGAGTTGCTGCTAGCACTGAAAGCTTACTGGCCTTTTGACCCCGAGTTCTGGGACTGGAAAACTCTTAAATATCATTGCATATCGCTGCTAGGGATTAGACCGGAGTCTGAAGAAGAAGAGGAGGAGGTGGAGGAAGTGGAGGACAAGCAAGAGAAAGCTAAACAGCACGAGCCACAAGGAGGTCCGATAAAAGTCGAATCGGAGCCCAACAGCAGGATAAACGGAGGGCTTAATGTGGAGAAAAGTCCGATCAATAACCACACGGACATTAAAGGGAAGTGCGAGATTAAAAGGCCAAAGCTGCGCTGTCAGATCTGTAAGAGGTCCATCACAGACATACAAATAATTCATCACTCCCAAAGACACGCAGAGAAGAATAATCATCCCTGCCCGGTTTGCTTGGAGGACTTCAGGAGCAGAAAGGACCTGCTGCCACACCTGAGAAAACACATTAAGAAGACGCCATCTTCTCCCCAGAGCAGCACAAAGACAGAGGCCACGCAGGAACAAACGGAAGACGAAGAAGATGTCGAACCCGGAGAGATCACCCTGGACCCCTCACTAATGCTGTATTACAAATCCACGCACAACCAAGACCCGTTGCATGACGCTGTCGGAAAAGCCAAAACCCCGACAGAGCAGCCGGAGGACAACGACGAGTATGTGACGTTCGATTACATCGACAAGCACTTCAAGCTGCAGAACCGGGAGGTGTATCCCTGCCCGGGGACCAAATGCAATCGGATCTTTAAGCACTCCAAGTACTTGTACGTCCACCTGAAGTCAGAGCACAGGGGCGACGAAAATGTGAAACATTTCCATCAGATGAGGGACAAAAGGGAAAAATGCGTCTTCTGCAGACGGCACTTTGTCTCCGCTTTCCATCACCGCAGACACAGGAAAGTCCACTACGGCGATCAGCCTTACATGTGTGTCGTCATCGGCTGCGGCGCTCGCTTCGGGACGTCTAATGAGCTCGTGATGCACAAGCACACCCACGGCTTCCAGCTCAACTACCAGTGTGAGCTCAAAGGCTGCTCCGTCACATACTCAGACCTGGGACAGATCTATCACCACGAAGCACAGCACTTCAGAGATGCGGCCTTTACCTGCAGTAGCGCTGAATGTAAAAAGTTCTTCTTATCTAAAAAGGACTTTCTAAAGCATTTATCCACACACAACATCACGTTCACAGAAAATGACTTTGAGGCTCAGAGAAGGGCTAAGCGGAAATTCTTTAAGACGGTCCGTGAAGTGATTGTGCGCCCCATCAAGCCCGTGAATATAACAGAAGCTGTAAACGGGAACGTCCTGAACTCGCAGTCAGTCAGCTGCGGCTCATCTCTACAAGAAGCCGAACCCCAGGAGCCCAAGGCGACGGTCACGCTGGTGGCCGTGTGCTTCGACGGCAGCAAATTCACATGTGGCTTTGAGAGGTGCGGAATGACTTTTTCTAGAGCCAGAGACGTCCAAAGGCATCTGAAATGTGCTCACCCGGAACATTTGAAGTTGGAGAACAGAGAACAGAAACATGAAAACGGGGAAAACTCTGTGCCCAAAGTGGTGAAGCCTGAAACGGAGCCAGAGAGTGGGGATCAAAGAGAAGATGAACATTCACCTCCGCTGTTACCTTTGGAGTCTGCCAAAGAGAAGAAGGCACCTTCTCACACCAAAGGCGGCGACACGAATCCTTCGGGCGTTAACACAAAAAATGACGCTTTGAAAGAAATCCTCATCGGGTTGAGCAAACTAAGCCTGGGCTCCTCATCCTCTCAGGGTTTGCAAAACAAGACCCTGAAGTCCAACTCCGACTTTACAGCATCTTCTATTCATCAGGCGATCATAGAGAAGCCTCTTGTAGTGTTGCTCAAGAAGAGACGCCATCTGCTGGAGGAGCAGGTGAAAAGCGAAGCGGAACAAACGCCGCTGACCAGCGAGGAAGAAGGCGTGGAACCGTTGGCCACGGCCAGGCCTTATGTGTGCGAGATAAAACGGTGCGGCTTCCGGACCGCTCGGAGTTACAGCCTACTGCGACACTACCTCTCCGTACATAGCCGGACCATCGACGATGCCAAACGAATGACCGCCTCCATCAAGCCTTACAAGTGCCACCTTTGTCCCAAGAGTCACAGAGAGAAGAAAGTGCTGAAGGCCCACTATATTACAGTTCACAACATGAGTGAAGACCTCTTTAACAGTTTGAGCTTTGCGTCTGCAGGAGTCGAAGGACACGAAGGGTCTGCAACGTCACAGCCGACGCTGCAGCTCTCAGCGAATCACAGTGAAAAGGCTAAAACGAGGGACGCTCCCAACCTGCCACATCAACACAACGTGAAGGAAGAGAGCGGAATCAGTGAAAACGGAGAGAACGGCAGCAATCTTTCCTCCGTGGAAGAAGGAGAGGAGGAAGGGGAGATCAAAGACAAAGATGACGAGCAGAAAGAGCAAAACGAGGACAACGCCACCCAGCAGGTGAGAACGAGGCGTGTGGTGGCTAAGAGCAACCTGTGTTACATACTGGACAAGTTCAGCAAACCGTTTCACTGTGTGGCGAAGAACTGCGACGCAGCTTTTTCCACACAGGGAGGCCTCGTTCGCCACCTGCAGCTGGTGCACCACTACAACCGCTCTCAGCTCCTGCTGGAAAAAGACGGCGAGGTGCAGGCCAGCCCCGAAGCCAGAAGGGAGCCTTCCAAGAGAAGACCTCTCACAAACTCTGACGAACCTCAGCCGCAGTTCAAATGTCACTTTGCTAACTGTTTCGCCTCCTACCACCTTAAAAGCAGTCTGGTGCGGCACACGCGAGATGTTCACTCTCGGCCTCCTGAGCTCATACGATGCAAATTCGACGGCTGCTCCAGGGTCTTCAGCCACAACGAGGCCCTTAAGAAACACACTCTGTACAGTCACTACGAGTACTACGACTCACTGGTGCTACGGCTGCAGAGCACACACAAGAAGTCAGTAACTGGCTGCCAGAAGAAGGTGATCGTTACGCCAACGAGTCCTGAGAAGGAAGAAACGTCTTTGCCCACCACTGAGAATTCGGAGTCTGAAGGGACGACGCAGTCGGAAGAGAAGGACGACAGCGGTGCTGATGTGAAAAAGGCGTCGGGGAAAAGCGGCAGACGAAAGCACAACTTGTTCAGCAGTTTCGTCTTTAGATCTCACGAGGAAGCACTACAGATGTGTCAGGACCGCTGTTTGCGTACAGCTTACCCGTGCATGGTCCAAGACTGCGACTCAGTGGTCACCTACCTGCACAGCCTGCACCGCCACTACCTGGCGGTTCACCGCATGTATCGAGAAGATCTCTCCAAAAATGAAGACAAACTTGTTTTTACCGCCGAGAAGCTGGAGGTGCTGATCCAGACGAAGTCCGCCAGGCCAGCTGTCAGCGGAGAAATCTCACCTGAGGAGGCTCCGAAAACGGAGCTCCAGGCTGAGGCAGCAGACGCGGAGGAGGAGCAGCCTCCCCCTTTGACTCCTCCTGCGCTGGAAGCTGGATCAGAGGAGAAGGAAAGTTGTGAGCCTCTAGATCCACCAGAAGAGAAAAAAAAAGAGCCTCCACCCGATGAGATAAACGAGGCTGCAAACGAGATGCTGGAAGATGAACTGATCAAAGAAGAGGCTCCTGAGGAGCTTCCTGTTTCTACTCCTCCACAGACAAAACAGGATGAAAGATCCATATTAGACAAATTTAAACCACTTCTTCGCCCGGTCACTGTAGACCTTTCACCTCCGTGCTCGCTGCGCTTTTCTCCTGAGCCAGGCAACAAAGATGGCGCTAAAACAAACACCTCGACGCCCCCTCCCACGCCGTCACCACCCCCAACACCGCCGCCCTCCGCTCTTCTTCGCATGCCGCTGAAACGGAAAAACGAACAGTCAGAACAACCGTTCAGCTGCAAAGAAACCAAGCCCAGAAGCCCCTCGCCAAGCCCCTTTGACATCGCTGCCTACAAGCCCATGGGCTTTGAGTCCTCGTTCTTGCAGTTCATTCAAGAAAAAACTCCGATAGAAACGGAGGAAGAGCTGAAAAGCCGAGACGCTCTGAAACGCAGCTGCTCTGTGAAGGAGAACAACCAGCTGGGAGTCTCTCACACCCGCAGAAAACGCACTCATTCCCCTCCGGAAGATGGAGACTTCACCTCGGTACAAAACTTGAAGTCCATCCTGGACAGAGCCCTGGCTGGGTGTGGGGACCTGGCCGTAAAGCAGCTACAGTACCTCAGACCGGTGGTGGTTCTGGGACGACCCGTGACCAGCACCGCCACGCCTGACCTCTTCCCATCAAAGACCAACAGCAAACTGCTTCTTGGAAGTTAGTTTTAATCAGCACCTTTTTAAACATGGCAATGAAAAAGTTATTTCTTTTTACAGACTGTGTATCAGTATTTTTTTCATCCAAAACACTTTTTTTTTTAAGTTGACTGAACTTTTGTAGAAATTAGCCTAAATAAAAAAACAAGCCTTAAAAGGTGCAGATGAAAGCAGTCTGACAGTATTTTAGACTTTATCAAAGCAGTCAGATAACATCCAATGTGTTCAATTAGTCACAGATGTATATATGACCATGTCCTCCCAAACACATGTATAGCTTTTCAGATTGTTAGAAATGATCAGTAGCATAATGCCAAACCTTTTCACTCAAAATGGGACTAAAATGTGAACCTACAACTAAGAAATATGTTTGGTTATTTTTCACTTCTGTTTATATGAAATCAGTATTGGCAGCAGTTCTTGGACAACATGTATGTAACGGTTTCTAATAAATAAATAAAAAAGACTGGAAATAAATTTAGGACATTTTTGTAATCGATGAAAGAGTTTAGCTCTGCTTTTGAGTGTAAAAAAAAGGATAAAGATTCATTTTAAAATCATTGTCAAAGAAATCGCTTAACTTGGGTACTATTCATGCATTTTGATTTCATAAAATGGTAAAAAAAAAAAAAAAAAAGGCTTTTTAAGCCGTTAATTATAAACTTCAGTGCCATAGTTTCAATTGGATATGAGTATTTAAACAATTTCTAGAATAGTAATGCCTTTTGAAAGCAAATCATCCATCTGAAATGCAAAAGGGAAGTAAATAATGAATAATTGATGCAAAATTTGCTTATCATTGCCCACATCACTGCCTGCACACTTTTACATATTATATAGATCAGTAGACCATATTTGATTCCAGACAGCTTTGGGTGTGGTACCTTCTCATCTGGGATTGTGACAAGATGGCGCCCCCTACAGGGCTAGAACTTCTGCCTCGAGTCTGTCACAGCTGTCCATCCGGAATTGATTATGCTTTGAACCATTGGTCAACGTTGTCGCCACACTGAGTCATGATTCTGAGATGCAAAAACTGTACAAGACCGTTTCAAGTTTGTTGATACAGGTGCTGGTCATAAAATTAGAATATCATGAAAAAGTAGATTGATTTCAGTAATTCCATTTAAAAAGTGAAACTTGTATATTATATTCATACATTACATACAAACTCATATATTTCAGATGTTTATTTTGTTTAATTTTGATGATTACAAATGACAACAAATGAAAATCTCAAATTCATCATATCAGAAAATTAGAATATTGTGAAAAGGTTCAAAATTGATGGCCCCTGGTGCCACACTCTAATCAGCTAATTAACTCAAACCACCTGCAAAAGCCTTTAAATGGTCTTTCAGTCTAGTTCTATAGGCTACACAATCATGGGGAAGACTGCTGACTTGACAGTTGTCCAAAAGACGACCATCGACACCTTGCACAAGGAGGGCAAGACACAAAAGGTCATCGCTAAAGAGGCTGGCTGTTCACAGAGCTCAGTGTCCAAGCACATTAATAGAGAGGCGAAGGGAAGGAAAAGATGTGGTCGAAAAAAGTGTACAAGAAAGAGAGATAACCGCACCCTGGAGAGGATTGTGAAACAAAACCCCTTCAAAAATGTGGGGGAGATTCACAAAGAGTGGACTGCAGCTGGAGTGAGTGCTTCAAGAACCACCACACACAGACGTATGAAAGACATGGGTTTCTGCTGTCGCATTCCTTGTGTCAAGCCACTCTTGAACCACAGACAGCGTCAGAAGCGTCTAAAGAGAAACAGGACTGGACTGCTGGTGAGTGGTCCAAAGTCATGTTCTCTGATGAAAGTAAATTTTGCATTTCCTTTGGAAATCAAGGTCCCAGAGTCTGGAGGAAAAGAAGAGAGGCACTTCATCCACGTTGCTTGAAGTCCAGTGTAAAGTTTCCACAGTCAGTGATGGTTTGGGGTGCCATGTCATCTGCTGGTGTTGGTCCATTGTGTTTTCTGAGGTCCAGGGTCAACGCAGCCACATACCAGGAAGTTTTAGAGCACTTCATGCTTCCTGCAGCTGACCAACTTTTTGGAGATGCAGATTTCATTTTCCAACAGGACTTGGCACCTGCACACAGTGCCAAAGCTACCAGTACCTGGTTGAAGGACCATGGTATCCCTGTTCTTAATTGGCCATCAAACTCTCCTGACCTTAACCCCATAGAAAATCTATGGGGTATTGTGAAGAAGAAGATGCAATACACCAGACCCAACAATTCAGAAGAGCTAAAAGCCACTATTAGAGCAACCTGGGCTATCATAACACCTGAGCAGTGCCACAGACTGATCGACTCCATGCCACGCCGCATTGCTGCAGTAATACAGGCCAAAGGAGGCCCAACTAAATACTGAGTGCTGTACATGCTCATACTTTTCATGTTCATACTTTTCAGTTGGCCAAAATTTCTATAAATCCTTTGTTTTTATTGGTCTTCAGTAATATTCTAATTTTCTGATATGATGAATTTGAGATTTTCATTTGTTGTCATTTGTAATCATCAAAATTAAACAAAATAAACATCTGAAATATATGAGTTTGTATGTAATGTATGAATATAATATACAAGTTTCACTTTTTAAATGGAATTACTGAAATCAATCTACTTTTTCATGATATTCTAATTTTATGACCAGCACCTGTATCTCAAATTCTTGCAAACTTGCAAAGCGTATTTATATTTTTTGCTATGTCAGAAAGCACTATGCACGATAGGAAATGATCTTCCACATAAGTTGATCATTTAGTAGATTCTGCTTCTCAGTCATAGAAGTTACCCCTTATTTATTAGAATAATCTACGATTTTTACATTCATATTGGTGGAAATTTTACTCAAAGTAACATAGTTGGTGTTTTCTAACATAACATTCTCTGTATAGAAAGACCTTAACCCATTTCATTAAACTGTTTAAAATATTTCTAATTTAATAATTATAAGAACACTCTTCACTTTATAGAATTTCAACGTCTGCCATTAAAGATAACATGTCACTAAATATTTGAGGGAAATAGAACCAAATAGTGTAATTATGTCTATAATTGAATAAAGTACAGCAGAACGTAAATGGAGCTGCTTAATGTTGAAATGTAAACACTAACTTTGTTTGAAGATTGTTATGAAATGCAATAAAATACAATGGATGTTACCAATTTGTAATGACAAGTTATTTTTAAGCTAAAACTTGTCTACAAATCAGCAGAAAAAAAATTAAACTGCTTAAAATCAAACATTAATATCTTAGTTCTATGAGAAAATTTAGTTAATAAGCAATAGCTTGATCAGAGGTAAACATTTTCTTCCAAAAATGAAATCGTAAAAACCTTTTTTAGGTTTGAACAAGATCCTAAGTACCCATATTTTAAGAATGGTATACTTCTAGTTCTTGCACAACAAACTTTTCATGTTGCAATAAGATGTTTTGGCTTGTGGCAGTTATACTTCCTTAATTTTCTGCTTTGAATTTAGGTTTGGATGGCCTAAAACCTGCTCTGTGTTGCTTCTGCTGTTACACATTTTTTTAATGATTGTATATTTTTGTCTTCGATGTAACTTATGATTCAAATTTGTATTTTGTGTAAGAAATTAAACTGGAAAAAATAATTCTCTTTGTAAAGCAATAGAAATTTTTCCTGTTAAACAGTTTATTTGCATAAAAGGGTCTACCTTATAAAGGAAAATCTAAGGGAACTACCTTAATTGGGTGGAAGGAGCAAAGTTTTTTCTTTTATGGTCCCTTTTTTTAATAAGTTATCCATCTTTTTCGTTGGTCAATGATTATTTTTTTAAACGGAGCTATCTGGCTGAAACAGAAAAAAACACATCTTCACAAAATATTGTTCTACAGACAGAAAAAATAAAATAAAATAAGAGGCAGTTTGTATTCTGCCTTTGTTTTTGCAGTAAACTTTAAAACATTTATTAGTTAGAGGAGTAAAGAAGCCCTGGCCCTGTGCGAACAGCGCCCCCTGCAGTCGCTAAGCAGGATGGATTCGGAAACCGGCCGCGCGGCGGAACCAATGTCACGGGCCGTTACATCGGGGACAGAAAACGGTGAAACACGTCTCCCAGGGGCGCTGGAAGCTTACATGAATGGAAAAAGGGCCTGAATGTTAACGCATTCTCTTTGTGAATCGAAGCTAGATAGCTTTTGTCTTTTAGTCCGTCTGGCTTTTTAACGCGGACTGTTTTTTTTCCCTCCTCCAGAGAAGTTGAAAACGTGTCTGTGGAGCGGAAGCGGAGTAGCTGTTAGCCCAAACAAGCATCCTGGTTAGTCAGTCAGAGAAAAACCCAGAGCAGAGATGCTGGAAGGAATCCTCCTCCTGCCTGTGCAGACGCAGATCTTCTACGCCGTCCTGGGATTCTCATGGACGGTGTATCTCTGGGAGGCATACCTGTCCTCCAGACAGGTGAGAATGAACCAGGAAATCTGCTCACATTTGTCATGTAGAAAAAAACAAAACAAAGATCTAAAGTCTCTGCGGGGGTTATCTCCAGAGATGTAGCCGGAACATTTTTAATAATTTACCTTTTTTAGATAAAAGGTAAAGTGGATAAAATTCTGTGAGGTTTGAGTTCTTGTCCATCGTCATCACTTTCCTACTTTTATCAATAATCGTTCTGCATAAAATTGATTACAAGTACTAATATATACATAAATGCATTATTTAACATGTTTTTATTAAAATAGTTGTCTATGATTTCTCTAAAGACTCCTACATGACTTGCAGAGATGCGTCATTTTTTCTTGACCCCATAAAACACAAAATCTATTTCTGAAAAGAGCATGAATTCTCTTCTTACCATCTTTAACGTTAGTATATTGATGTGCAGAATTAACCACAGTGTTTTTGTTATCAAGTAATTATGAATGTATATTAAAAAATAGTAAGTATTACATGAAAAATTAAAATGTTTTGAATATTCCAATCGATTATTAGGGGGGGGAAAATGGTAGGGGTGGCCAATGATTGGCTAAGGGTGGCCATGGTCCCCCATCTAGCTCCGCCCCTGGTTATCTTAGCAACTTGGAATCTGTTAATGTCAGATGTTATATTTAAGGGGAGCTGAAAAGTATAAATTACCGAGACCTAGCAAGCTTTACACATTACGCAATGAAAACCCTTGAATAAATATATCCATGGAAGGGGAAAGGAAGACTGACCATTATTCTTTTCATGACTAAAAGCACAGACTGACTGTTTTTAAAGCCATATCAAAGCATATAGTAAATGTATTCACATCCCTTTGATCTGTGAAGTAAAACTAAATGTATATATGGTTAGTTTCATTTCATTCATTCTGATCTTTTATTTTTTTGCACCATTTCTCAATCTTAGTCAGATTGGTTGGTGTTAGTGCCGATTCTCTGTTGGATTTAGGCCTGGCCTTTGACTAGGCCATTGTAATAGTTATCCTTCGATCTAAAACATTTTTATTATAGTTCTAAAGGTTTTTTGGGTTTTTTTCCCCCAGCGTTTTTATTGTCATTACACTGTAACAAAAACAGAGCAATGGAATTTAATTCATCCCTGGGGAGCAGTGGGCTGCCATTGTGCGGAGCCCGGGGAGCAGTATGAGGTTAAGTGTTTTGCAGAGTGGAGGCAGTGGGATTCCAACCGG